GTATAATTCTTATGCAATCCTGACCTTGTTGTGACTGTTGTAGCAACTTGATTTTTCTCAGGTGCACCAATTTTACGATATGCCTGGTACTTGCTTTTAGGTTCAGCTTAGTTATGCGCATTAGTTGCATCTCGTGTTTTTATAAATTGCGATGATATCCATGTGATATACTGTCTATCTTTTCATTAGAGCAATTTTTATTCATCTCCTAGATTTTGAGACCCATCGTTGGTGTCTTGCATGATTAGTTACCTGTTTTAGGAGTCCGAATTTTTATTGCGTCACATGTTAAGTTTGTAGGTTAACGTACGGGTTGCCGGTACTACGCACTCTGCATCAATAGCAGGGGAGGACTGAGAAAGCAGACCCTTTCTGAGAAGAGTATTGTATATGACCAAGACATTTAGAATTGCCTTGTGAAAGACATTCGACAGAGTACTAAGAGAGACTACATCTTCTTATAAATATCGATTCATTTTTGTTATTTAAGTTGTGTAAATAATTCAACAAACATCAATGTTTATTTATTTTAACAAAATTCACTGTTATTCCCTTTCCCATTGTACCTTTCCCTAGATTTTGATGTATTATCTTCAATTAAGTAATTCTAGCAAAAGGCTAAAATTACTACGCAACACGGCGAAAGCGCGAGATGATGCGTCAGAAAACGCGTGAATTCGAAAGTTTCCGACCGAGACTACACCTAGCCATCGCGGAATCTTTAATTCAGGCAATGCCGAAAGTGACTGACAGTAAACGAACCATCGTTCACGTACCAGCAGGGTATCATCCCAATCGCACTTCAAAATCCAGAGATCCTGCATGAGAACCTTGGCTACCACGGTTACCGGCGCGAGCCACCCTAACGGATCAAATAAGTGCGCGATATTGGACAGCATGGCACGCTTCGTTGCGGCACCGGCTAACTCTTCGAAATTCAACGTTGTAAAGCTAAATTCGTCGAACCTCTGGTTCCACCTAACTCCGAGGGTCTTTAAAGACTCTCCGTCCGCGATCGATTTTATTTTGTCGTCCTCGCAATGCGAGGCTTGAGAAAGGAGTTATCACTTATCAAGCTCCACTCCCGCCGACCTCAACATACTAACTAATTCTTCCCGTATTCTTTTCGCTGCAGACAACTCATCCGCTCCAGCGAAAATATCGTCAACATATGTATTGTTGTTCAAACACAAAGCCCCGAGAGGATACCATGCTCCCTCATCGCTGGCTATCTGCCGAATCGTGCGTATCGCAAGGTATGGTGCACAAGCTGTGCCGTAAGTTACCGTCGTTAAACGAAAGTCTATCGGCGGATCAGATCGGCTGTGGGACCAGACTATCCGTTGAAAATCCTGGTCGTCCGGCGCGACGCGAATCTGTCGAAACATCTTGACGACATCCGCAGTGAAAGCGTAACGGTACCGTCGCCAATTTAACAAGATCAAACCTAGATCGCCCTGAAGCGCAGGTACCTTCATGAGAAAATCATTTAGAAGATTTAGAAGACTATCCGAATCTTCGATTGTATTACAGCGTGATGCGGCAAATACCACGCTCTCGGATTTTCGACTTCGGACGGCGGTACACGCTCCATATGCCCGAGCTGTTCGTATGCAAGCATAAACTTCCGATATTCAAGCGCCAAATTTGAGTCCCGGTCAAATCGACGATGCGTATGAGCTAACGATCTCATCGCCATATTTCGCGTTTCACGAGCGATCTCCGGTAAACTCGACTCGAGGGGTAACCGAACGGTGTATCGACCACCATTATCACGCGTATGCGTCTGACGAAATAACGTCTCACAACTATCCTCCGGCAGATCATGGACAGTGACCATCGAGGCCACTTCCTCGAGTTTCCAAAAGCGTTGTATCGACTCATTCAAATTGTCCTGAGTAGCACAGTGATGTGCACGAAGCGGGAAAGATTCAGAAAGAACCGCCCGCCGTGAGGCGTCCGCTGATACTGGACCTGATGAGATCCAACCCAGTACTGTATTTTGGGCGACCAGCGAGGACGCGGGAAAGGTCCTCACCCCTGATCGCAATAATTGCCCGTAAATATCCGCTCCTAAAATGACATCTATCGAATCCGGCGCATGAAACTGCGGATCCGCTAAATGCAAACCGACGAACAGGTCTAATGGCAATTCCAATACCCGACACGCTGGTAGATGCGAAGTGATTTTTCCCAATACCAGAGCATCGGTCTCAAGTCTAACCGACGGATCGATTAAAGATCGTATCACCAACCGGGTTGTTGCCCTAGCGGCACCCGCAGGACTAGCTCCGACGCCCGTTAAGGATATGTTCGCGCGACGTTTCTCTAGCCCCAGAAGATTTGCAATAGACTTCGAGATGATTGAAACCTTGGATCCCTGGTCCAGCAAAGCACGCACGCGAGTCTGTTTTCCGTGAGGCCCTAAGAGCGTCACCTGAGCCGTAGCCAATAAGACCGATCGCTTTTGTCCTACTACCTTCGCGGTATGTACCTTCGCGTCCGTTGTTTCCTTCGATACCTCGTTCGAAACATTCGGTGTGTTCCCCGGTACCTGAATATTCGCGGAACTCGGAGAACTCTTGGGAAGGTGGATCATGGTGTGATGTCTCTCGCTACAAGTCGCGCACGTAGTCGAAACAGGACAATCAACGAATCTGTGAGGACCGAAGCAGTTGTAACAACGCCGTAAACGACGGACTTCGACATGACGTTCGGAGGGCTTCTTATTTTTAAAACAGAAGCACCGTTAGAGCTCCTGAGCATAATGGACATCGTACTCTACTGTCTGCTGAATCTCGCGTATTAGAGTGAAATACCTTCCGCGTACCCGTAAATGGTTTGGACGGACCCGACGTTCGTTTCTCCGATGCGTTAGCTCCGGCGGCAAGCATACTTAACGCCTAAGCGCGATTCTCTAAAAACTCGGTCAAGTCTGTAAATTTCGGAAAACGGTCAAGAACGTTCTCATTAGCCGCGCCGGCATTCGCAAAGACCTGACGATCCTTCTTGCTCAATTCAGATTCCCAGACCTTTCGCGATTCAGGGTCCAATTTCGCCGCAACTTTGAATACCAGCCAGATATCCCAATACTCGACTGGTAATCGCAAGTTTGTTAGCGCGCGAACAATGCGTTACGACTCATCAGCAAGCGTGCGTATTTCGGAAGCGGATTCCCTTTTCATGTGGATAGGTCCATCAGAGCTCGCAAATGATTGTACACAATTAGTCTAGGATTATGATACCGAGCTTTCAGAGCTTGCCAAGTCGTCGCGTAATTCGCATCGGTAGTCGCAACATCCTTAACCAACTCGGCGGCACTGCCTTTCAGGTAGCCCTTCAGATACTAAAGCTTTGTGGCATCAGCCAAACGCGGCGCATTATGTACTAAAGTGGTAAATAAATCGCAAAAATTCTCCCAGTCCTCGTAGCGTCCCGAGAACGTTGGAAGATTCAGTTTCGGTAGCTTCGTGGCGCGCGAGACCTCCACATCCATCGATGAACCGGCATCCGATGATCCCGGATTGACTGATGCCGATTCCAACTCAGCCTTCATGGCAAATAAAAAATCGAGCGTCTCCTCACGCGCCATCTGCAAACGCCCGAACACGTCCTCGGTGATGTATGGGTCCTCCAGAGCGTCTTCACGAACGACGATCTGTTCGTGCGTCGCACGCACGCTGGTTCAAATCTCGAGGAGCTCGTCGACCCGCGAAGCAACCAGGTTTAGACTAAGGACTTTTCTTTCAAAAGCCTACCCGTGAGATCAATCTCCGCCAATCGCGATCTCTGAAGAGCAATGAGCTCTCTCAACGGTATCTGAACGTAAGCCATTATCAAATATTCGCAACCCGACGGCTGTTAGAAACCTCGACGGATATATTAACAAACGAATGTTTTTACTCCCGAAAAAATCTATTAAATTCTTCGCGAGCTGAACGAGATGAATTTCGTGCACCCGTACGAACAATTCTACACTTCGCAAGTCGGCGATTCACGGCGATTTCCACGGACTCTCAACGCATATTAACGCAGTACAATCTACATCAGTAATAATTCGAATCAACTAGAACACTCATTCCTCATCCGGAGCACCAAAAATAAATGTATCAATCCTTTCGCTCTTATATCTAGTTTAAAGGTTGTGAAAGAAGAAGAAAGGGGAATTCGTGAAAAGAATAAGTGTTCAGGCTGAGACAAATAATTACACAATTTTCCCGTTTGTAAAGCACTTGCTAAGGCCTAAAAACCCCTTCGGAATAAGGAGAAAAGCCCAAGCAAGCGTGAAAATCATTATTGAGACTTACATTACACGTCGAGGAACCAATGTACTAATCTCGCTGCTGTCGGCCTCCGCAACTGACGAGTGCACTCGCGGATCAACGAAAGTTCCCTTCAACTGAGCCTGCCAGGAGGAATAAGGTGATTCCGGATTGGACACTACCGATCAACACAAACTCCGGATCGGACACTACCGATCAACACAAACTATATACGTTATCGTGACCAGAGCGGAGGACAGTACCCACCCGGTACTTCCTCACCTCTCTGAACCACTCGAAACCAGAGCGGAGGACAGTACCCACCTGGTACTTCCTCACCTCTCTAACTCACCTGCACCGTCGTGCAATGTCTCATCCCTGGCAGTACTCTGGGAAGCAAAATCCTATACGGATCACAAACCGACACCAGCACACACAATAATCCACGCGAAACTACGTCGCTCTATTGACGGTTTCGGATTTCGCAATTCTTTGAATCGAACTCTGACGTTTTCTGGTATTCGTCGCACAATCGATAACGCAGCTAATCGTTACAATTCTCAAACCGGAGTGAGGACGATCGGCTCGGGTTGCCGATTGTATACTCCAAAACAATGCTATCGCCGCACCAATCAGATGGCCCTTCTGCAAAAACGATGCTACAGCCGCACCAATGCAACGCTTTGCAATAAACAAATGCCGCTAGGCCGCGCCAACGCGATTGCTGTGCGATCAACAAACGCTTCTAGGGCCGCGCCAATGAAATTGCTTTATAATAAACAAGCGAAGCGCAAAACCTCAAGGCCATCTGAATGCACCTTTTCCAGAATATTCCATGACGCGGAGAATCCGCGAACAACTTCTTTCGTGAATCTTTCTTCGTGAATTATCTACTGACCAGTAGTGTATGTTATGACGGTTAACTGCTCCATGGTTTGTAAATGTGACCTCATCGGTAAATAACAGTTTACAGAAGAACATTTCATCGTCTTATAGTTTTCGTGAGCCCCATTTGCAAAATTATAAACGTTTTGTATAATCATTTTCAGTTAATTTTTGATAAAGTGATATGTGGAACGTGCGAAATATTAATTGTTAGGGATGGTGCTCTAACGGATTGCCGGAGGATTGAGAATCGGGTAGAAATGATTTGTACTCACTTTTTTTCCCAAAAGCCGAACCTCGTGACTTGCTCGATTATTTCGACCGATACCTCGGGAAACTCGAAATGTTGTAGGCACTCCGAGTATCGTCCTCGGTGGAACCTGGATGATGCAGAACGAAACTGCAGTGAGCCTTTGCGACGGACCCGTCGTACCACGTGGCGCACCAAGGTAACTATCCAATTCCTTATGGAACTGGATGGTGGGAATTCGGTATTACAGTGTTAAAACCGCTTGACCGACGAGCCGTTAATTACAACATTACGTCACGTACACGGACGCCTGGTTGTACGACTGCCCACAGAATGATAGCCGGTAGGACGTCACACAGGACGTATGTACCTCTTGGCACTAATCTTAACCCGGATACAATAGAGATTGCAGAACGGGCATCAGCGGTAACGACCCGCGCAAAGAAGTTGCTCCTTACACGACGTCTCGCAAAGAGATCCGACTTTCAAAGTACGGACTCGTAAGGAGAGCGAGCTCGATCCAAGTATAGAACGATAGAGTGATTCTCTCCGAAGGAAACACCTTCGAGAATCAATTAGGGAAAATAAGAAATGTTCGTGAGAGACCTACGTCTCCGGTCAAACGTCGTCGAATTATAATCGAATCGACAGACCGGCCGAGCTACCTCAGTCTCACGGTCAACGGAATTCGGTGCGTGACAAGACGGAATTACTCTACGTCTGAATATCGCGTAATATAGAATGTAAAATTCGCCAGCGGAAATACTTCCGCTGCACGAATATCCCTTATTCGAGCAATCTGGGCTTGACCGCCGTAAAAATTGCGTGTTAATGGTCCGAGAGACAAACTATCCTGAAAATAGCATGCATACACCGAATTATTACAAATTCGGATTAGGGAACACCCTTTTCAGCTTACAGCTGTTCTAAATCCGTTTCGCAGACGAATTCTGCACGGAGATAAGCGGATTAAGTAATTCTTGGAAATTCGCGACGAATATGAAGAATCGACGCTCATCGGTCGACACACCATAAAGGAATAATACGAAGCCGCGGCACGCGTATCATTGCCGATAAGCGGCTCTCACTCTAAACTATCTATTTCTCTCTCGGACTCATGCTCCGGGCGTATACACGCCCGTATGAGTGACCGCTCGCGGTACATAAGAAATCGATCACGACTTCTTAATCCGCGAGCGTTAACAATAACAATTCTACGGGAACGTTAAATTCGAAATTCTCGCGAACACGTAATTCTTGTACTAATTTTCGAGGAATTAGCTGACCGCTAATTCCTTCGAACGGACATCTCCGAATATGCATTACGTGCGGAGGCGCATGTTACACATGCGGATCCCTCCGACTTACGCGTATTTTTAACATTAATACATAACGAGTCATTTTTGTTCTTCAATTAATATATAACAAGTCATTTTTGTTCTTTAATATAATTTATAATAATATTGTGAACTGTATGGTTTATAAAATAATTTTCATCATTCATAATTGTTAGGTGGAGACATAACGGGGTCCGGATAATCGAGGAGGAGAAGGTTGAGACAGGATTGTAATTAAATAAAAATAAAATAATTCCAATTTGAAATTTAACGTATGTTTATTCTACCGGCGTTATACGCTCGATAGCCCCAAATATGAATACAAAAATAATAGCTTGATTCAAATAAAATTAGAATATGCTATTGTTCGCTGTTGCGGTCCTCGTCCTTACCGGCGAGATCTGTAAACAAAAAACAAACAACGGCAAATTAAATTTGCGATTCGTTGTTAATTATTGGACTGTATAATGTGTAATGTTAATTAATGAGAATAATTTCTTGTCTCGTGGTTAACTCAACTCACTCATGATCGAGTGAGGAGGTATTCTACGTTGCACTGATTCGGTGCGCCGAAACAGAGCCTGCGAGCGTTTTTTGCTAAGAGCTCACGTAGCTAGCTACGCTGCGTGAGGGAGCCCGGGTTGTAAGGTCGAGACTCCGACTGACCGCTACTATAATCTGTCCCCTTGCAAAATACTTCGGACAAAGTCCGAAGTACCCTACCATGACAAAACAACCGGCGACCAGCTATAAACTAGAGCTTCAATGGTCACGGGAACGACCGAGACTCGAACACGTATAAAATAGACGTGCCCTTGTTTCGACACTGATAATCAGTGGGAACGTCATGAACGGAAGATAATCT